GTTCGAACCACCCCCCCCTCCCCCTCCTCGCCGCCAGCAAACGACTCCCCGTCCTCCCCCAATCCGGATGGGGGACTGTGGTGCGGACAGTGGTTGGGACGGTGGTGGGAATGGTGGTGGGGAGTGGGGACAGTGGGACAGTGGTTGGGACAGTGGAGAGTGGGACAGTGGTGGGGGCACTGGTGGAGACAGTAGGGACAATGGGACAGTAGTGGGGGCACTGTTGGGACAGTGGGGACTGTGGGACGGTGGTGGGGACAGCGAAGACAGTGGGACAGTGGTGGGGACGGTGGTTGTGGGGACAGTGGTGAGGGGACAGTGGGACGGTGGTGGGGACAGTGGGGACAGTGGGACAGTGGTGGGGACGGTGGTGGACAGTGGGGACAGTGGGACAGTGGCGGGAACAGTGGGGACAGCGGGGACAGTGGGACAGTGGTGGAGACAGTGGCGGGGACAGTTGGGGCAGTGGGACAGTGGTGGGGACAGTGGTGGGGACAGTGGGGACAGGTGGTGGGAACAGTGGGGACAATGGGACAGTGGTGGGGACAGTGGGGACAGTGGGGACAGTGGGACAATGGTGGGGACGGCGGGGGGGACAGTGGTGAGGGGAGAGTGGGACGGTGGTAGGGACAGTGGGGACAGTGGGACAGTGGTGGGGACGGTGGTGAGGGCGGTGGTGAGGACAGTGGTGAGGGCGGTGGTGGACCAATGAGACAGGGGTACAGTGGGGACAGTGGTGGGGACAGTGGGGACAGTGGGACAGTAGAGGGGACAGTAGGACAGTGGTGGGGACAGTGGGGACGGTGGGACAACACAGTGGGACAGCGGTGGGGACAGTGGGGACTGTGGGACAGTGGTGGGGACAGTGGGGACAGTGCGACAGTGGTGGGGGCACTGGCGGGGACAGTGGGGACAGTGGTGGGAACAGTGGGGACAGTGGGGCGGTGATGGGGACAATGGGGACAGTGGGACAGTGGTGGGGACGGTGGTGAGGGGGACAATGGTGAGGGCGGTGGTGACGACGGTGGGGACCCCGGAATCGTTTGCCAGCTTCGAGTGGGGGGGGCGGGTAGCGAAGCGGTAGTGAACCCCCCCGTTTTCCGGGGGGGTTCGAACCGGTAGTGACCACCCCTGGGTTTGCCGGGGAGGGGGGAGTGGCGGCAGGTTTTTACCAGGGAAATGGGGGGGGGGTTCGAGCAGGGGGGCATTTTCGGAGGGGGGGGACCCCTGGGCTACAGAAGAAGAGGGGGGGAATTTTCCACAGCAAAACAGCGGTGGATCAAGCTCTCTCTCTTATCTCAACGTCTTGACTGCTCTTGACTGCAATACCCAAGTGCAGCCAGCAACTGGAGGTCGCCGAGAGAGGATCCGAGTAAACGGGGTCGGAGGATGGCACCGCATCGCCGATGCATCGTCGACGTCGGGATGGGAACACATCGGTCCCCGAGCCGAGCCGCATCGCCGCTGCATCAGCGATGCGGCGCGATCCTCCGACCCCATCTATTCGAACCCCATATGGGTGGTCTGGAGCAACACATCCAGACCTCCTCGCGTCGTAGAGAAATCAAGACGGGACGTTTCTAGCAACTTCCGGGCCCTGGGGCCGTCAATAGTTAGAATCGGAGGTATCGGATCGGGAACACGTAAGAGTCGGGTTCGGGGGACTCAGGTTGACCTGACGGGGCAATCATGAAAATGACGAGACCCAGTCTGAAACCCCACCAGCCCTCTGGGCGTAGGTGGTCTAGGGCGGCTCCTCTTCCAACCCCCTTCTTCCCCTTCGGGGAAGGGTCTCCCTCCCCCTACCCCTTCCCCTGGACCTGGACGGGCGGTGCCGCGACCCATTGAAGCGTCCGTCCAAAACGGCCTCGGCGAGGAAGCCAAAATAATTGGTTGTACTAGGGTATTAGCCCCATTTGGGCCTCTTGGGGGGAACATTAACTGGCCCTCTTCGTTGATCGATCTCCTCCAAGATGGCCCCAAGAGGCGCCCAGGAGGCCCCAAGAGGTCCTGAGATGGCCCCAAGATGGCCCCAAGAGGCCCCCAAGAGGCCCCTAGGAGGCCCCCAAGAGGACCCCAAGCGGCCCCAAGAGGCCCCCCCGAGGCACCCAAGACGCCCAAGAGCCCCCCAGGACCGCCAAGAGAGCCCCAAAGCGTCGCAAGAGGCCACCAAGAAGCGCCCAAGAGATACCCCAAGAGGCTCCGCGAGGCATCCTAGAGACCTCTGGCCCTTTTGCTTGCCCTTCTCCTCCTGTTCCTCCTTCCTCCTCCTACTCCTTTTCTTCCTCCTCATCCTCCTCCTCCTCCTCATCCTCCTCATCATCATCAGCAGCAGCGGCAGTATCAGCAGCAGCATCATGATCATCATCATCCGCAGCAGCAGCATCATCATCACCAGCAGCATCATCGTCATCAGCATCATCATCAGCAGCAGCATCATCCTCATCATCATCATGATCAGCAGCAGCATCATCAGCAGCATCATCAACATCATCATCAGCAGCATCATCATGATCATCATGATCATCATCATCATCATCATCATCATCAGCAGCAGCAGCATCATCATCATCGTCATCATCATATTCATCCTCCTTCTCCCCACTCCCTCATCCATCCATCCAGCCTCCTCCTTCTCCTCCCTCCTCGCACGGTTCGGCCGTCCCTCTCTTTGCTCCTGCACTTCCCTGATCGCCTCAACTCGCCTGGACATCGTTTCTGGAAGGGCTGGTGGGGATACGCGAAGGGTCTAGAATTTAACGCGAGCTCCTATTGCAAGCACCCAACGAAAACTGGACCGCCAAAATCCGGGACCCGCTCGTCAAAAAAAAACGTCGGCACATCCGAGTTCTGGCGCACTCGAGTCTCACGTTTCCCCGGTCGGAGAAAAGCTGCAAGAGGCTGGCGTGCCGTGGCTCTGTCAGCTGGGAGTCTTCGACGGACAGGAGGAGCAGGGCGAGCTGGAGGGTGGCCCCCTCTTCCTCTTCTTCCTCCTCCTCCTCCTCCTCCTTCTCCTCCTCTTCCTCCTCCACTTCCTCCTCTTCCTCCTCCTCCTCCTCCTCCTCCTCCTCCTCCTCCTCCTCTTCCTCCTTCTCCTCCTCCTACTCCACCTTTTGCTCCACCACCTCCTTCTCATCCTCCTCCTCCTCCTCCTCCTCCACCTCCTCCTCCTCCTCCTCCTCTCTTCCTCCTCCTCCTCCTCCTACTCCACCTGTTGCTCCACCACCTCCTGCTCATCCTCCTCCTACTCCTCCTGCTTCTCCTCCTCCTCCACCTCCTCCTCTACCTTCTCCTCCTCCTTTTTCTCCCCCTCCTCCTCCTCCTCCTCCTCCTCCCCATCATCATCATCGTCATCATCATCATCATCATCATCAGCAGCAGCAGCAGCATCATCAGCATCATCAGCATCATCATCTCCTTCTTATTATTATTCCTCCTCCTCATCATTACCATCATAGTATGATTGGTATTCTTCTGATTCTTATCAGCATTCATACTACTCTTCGTTGTAATTCTCAAATTAGAGCTTGCCTGTGTAGGGGTCCTAGCGGACTCATTCCCCAATCAGAGCTTGCCTGTGTAGGGGTCCTAGCGGATTCATTCCCCAATCAGAGCTTGCCTCTGTAGGGGTCCTAGCGAATTTATATGGTTAGATGAAATGTGCCGCCGATTTCGGCGGCGGGCCCGGGTGCCCGGGTGCCAGGGGGTGCCTGGGGTTGCCCCGGGGTGCCCAGGGGTGCCCAGGGGTGCCTGGGGGTGCCCGGGGGTGCCCGGGGGCCCCGGTGCTCGGGGGTGCCCAGAGATGCCCAGGGTTGCCTGGAGGTGCCCAGGGGTGCGCGGATGCCCGGGTGCCCAGGTGCTCTATCGCCCTATAGTCCTACAGCCCTATAGCCTGTAGCCCTATAACCCTACAGCCCTATAGCCTTATAGCCCTATAGCCCTATAGCCCTATAGCCCTATAGCCCTATTGCCCTGTAGCCCCATATAGCCCCTATAGCCCTACGGCCCTATAGCCCTTTAGCCCTATAACCCTATAGCCCTATAATTCTATAGCCCTATAGCCCCATAGCCCAACAGCCCCATAGCCCATAGAGCCCTATAGCCCTTATAGCCCTATAGCCCTATAGCCCTACAGCTCTGTAGCCCTACAGCCTTCTAGCCCCATAGCCCTACAGCCATTTAGCCCTACAGCATTATAGCCACATAGCCCAAAAGCCCTATAGCCCTAAAAAAAATCGGATTGGGCTTTTCTCCGGTATCATATTGTCAGGTGAGGTGCGGAACCGATTTCGGCGGCACGCCTGGGTGCCCGGGTGCCCCGGTGCCCCGTAGCCCTATAGTCCTACAGCCTAATAGCCGTATAGCCCTATAGCCTTATAGCCGTATAACCCTATAGCCCTATAGCTCTATATATCCCTATAACTCTTTAGCCCTATAGACCTACAGCCCTATAGCCCTATAGCCCTATAGCCCTATAGCCCTAATAGTCCTGTAGCCCTATAACCCTAGCCCTATGACCCGATAGCCCTATAGCCCTATAGTCCCATAACCTTATAGTCATATAGCCCTACAGCCCTTTTGCCCCATAGCCCTATAGCCCTAAACAAATATTATGGTTGGGGCTTTTCTCGGGTATCATGTCATTGGTCTTCTTGTTAATAGTATTACTCTGTTTCGTATTATTATTCGCACTAGTATATGTAATAATATCATTAGTGTTCGAAGTAGGTTTCTTCACATCCGTTTTATTGTTCGTAACACTAGTATCAGTATTGTTCGTAATCGTCGTCGCATTATTAACGCTGGTAATACTATGACTCGTCTTCTTGATATTTATAGGATTACGAATGATAGTACCGTGACTGTTATGTTTCTTCTTCCTCCTCCACCTCCTCCTCCTTATCCTCATCCTCCTCCTCCGCATCCTCCTCCTCCTCCTCCCCCTCCTCCTCCTCCTCCTCTTTCTTCTCCTCCTCCTCGTGATCCTCTTTCTCCTCCTCCTCCTCCTCCTCGCAGAGCTTTGAAGCGGGCGGACTGATGTTCAAACAGTCCAGTGGGCGGGACCCTAGCAAACGTTTCCAGCGGGCGTGACTCGGACAAGCGAGTCCGGCACGGCATTTCGAAGGCAGGCTTTCCAGGAACCCAAGAGGGCGGAGACCGAATGGCGAGTCCAGCGAGCGAGACTCGAGCCAGCGAGTCGGGGGCGCGAGGCCGTGGAGGTCAAGGCACTCGAGCGGCGTACGCCATGCGACGCCGCTCGTCGACCAGCTGGAAGTGTCCGGGCTTCTCCCAGTTGACCTCCGAATATTTGCCCGTTCGACCGCCCCCGTTCGCCAGTTGACCTTGGAGAATGGCCAGTTGACCTCGGAAAGTCCCCGTTCGCCCAGCGTTTTCCTGGCTCGCCCGTTCTCCGCACCAGAGCGGATCTCGCCTGCTGTAATCAGCATTCCTCTTTTTCATGGCTTCACGAGCCCGCTTGCAAACCCCTAGTGGCCAAGTGTGCTCAGCGACACAATTGGAGCCTCGGAGCACCTTCAAACGGACCAAGGTTGCAGCACTGGTGCTGCCCAGACGACTGGCGAGCGCCGAAATTATGAGCTCCTACGCCACTCCGAGACGTCCCAGCCAAAACGCAGCGGGGCACGGAAGGTGGCAGGAAGCTCAGCGTCGCCGCACGGAGGCGGGCCAAACTGGCCAAGCCAGGAGGGCGTCTGCGCCACTGCTACGTGGCCTGGCATGGGCCCCAGTAAGGGGAAGTGGAGGTGTTACAGATCTCGTCGCCCCACTGACCGCGGGAGCTCGGGAGGAGGAGGAGGAGGAGGAGGAGGAGGAGGAGGAGGAGGAGGAGAGGAGCAGGAGGAGGAGGAGGAGAAGGAGGAGGAAGAAGGAGGAGAAGCAGGAGGAGGAGGAGAAGGAGGAGGAGAGGAGGAGAGGAGAAGGAGGAGGAGAGGAGGAGGAGGAGAGAGGAGGAGGAGGAGGAGGGATGGGAGGAGGAGGAGGGGAGGAGGAGGAGGAGGAGGAGGGAGGAGGAGGAGGAGGGGGCGGGAAAGAAGAAAGTCCCGTCTCAGGCCCTGGGGAACTGGACGGGCGCGAAGGGACACGTCTCGGGCCTGGATGAGGGCGGGGCGCCTCGGGTAGGCACCACGACGACTGCAGGGGATGGGAGCGAGGGCGCGGATGGGAAGGACAAACTAGCAGCCCGCAAACCATCTAGAAGCTGGCTAGCGGGAGCACAGTGCCAAGTGAAGGAACGATCCCTTGCCATTCGATCCGCCACCTCGCGCTGCCGCCCCTGGTGTGTATGTGTGTCGGCACCCACTCTCTCCCCCCACATCCCAACGTGGAAGCACTGGTTATCTACAGTGAGCCCGCGAACAAGAAACAATGATATAGCATGACAGTTGCACGCTCGTCGCCATCAGTATCATCGTCACCGTGGCTCCAATTGCCGTAACTTAGATCGTTATCATGATCACTGGTTTCGTCATCACTCATCTTCTTGCCAACTACTACGATCACCTGCCCGACTACCGTCATCCCTCGCAGCCCCCTCGATAGCCATACTCTCATCATCTGTTGTTCTTCGTCGTCATCACTCTCGCCGCCGTCCTCTGCCATAGATCGGGGATGGACAGACCTCCCTTTAGTAAAACGTGGTTTAGTGAAAACGACATGAGGCCCAAACCTGGCGGGCGCAAGCCTGGAAAATAACGGCCACGGCGCCCTCTCGAAAACCGAAAACGGACAATTCACTAATCGACGTATCACTGTTGGGGGTTCTGTCCACCCCCGAATAGAGGCCCCAGCGCTGCACGGTACGACACGCGCGGTCGGCACGGCACGGGGCACGGCACCCTCCTCCGCACCCCGAGCACCAAAGGCACCGCAGGGCACGGCAACTTTCCCGCACGCTGCATTGCCAAGAGCGCGGCACGGCACCCCAGAGGGCGGGTCGGGCGGGCGGCACGCAGAGCCTCCTCGCTACGTCCTGCCAACCCTTCCTCCGTGCTCCCTTCGCTCCACTGCCGCCCTGCTCCACCTCACGTTCACCCTCGCCTCCTCCCGCCCCCCTCCCCGGCTCTCCCCACTTGGGGCCATCGGTCTCCGATGCAGCGTGGGCTTCCCGGCTTCGGCGCTCCGGCTTCCAGGGTGCAACCCTGTTGGCTTCCCAGTGTGGAGCGGTTTCCTGGGTTGGCCCCGCGACCCGACAACCACGGGACAACCGCGGGACGACCCTGGGCACGCCACAGGGACAACCACTGGACAAGCGCGAGACAACCCAGAGCAAGCCCTGGCTTCGCGCGGCACTTTTGGGCTCGACCTGGGCTTAGAGCGTGTGCAAAAGCTCGGGCAGCTTTGCCCCGCCCGCATGCACGGCACGGACCAAAATCGAAACCGATCTCACGGTTCGGGGCCTCCGTTTTACTTCGGCCGCGCCATATTTCTCTGGCCACGGGACATCCGCGGGCCAAACGCACGAGACAGCCGCACGGGACAACGACGGGCCAGTCGCGGCACAACCGCAGGACAACCCCGGGACACGGCGCAGGCCACTTTGGCCGAAGAGCATGGCGTGACACGCCCCTGGATGTGGCAACTTCTCTCTCGCCCTTCTGCGACGTCGCCTCGCCCGCACGCGCGACACGAACCGACACGGAAACCGACTTCCCAGTCAGGGCCACTGCGCTCGACGCCACTTCCAGGCATCCGATCTATGATAGGCACCCCCAGATGCCAACAAGATCCCTCCAAGAGGCCCCTGAGAGGCATCCCACGAGCCCCTCAAGTGCATCCAAGTCCAAGAAGATCCTGACCCACCAGATAACTTCCAAGATCGTCGCGAGCACTCGCTCCTTCTGGGGGGGTGTCACAATGGCGCAAGCCACTTGAACAGTGGAGGCGGGTCGCTGCCGCTGGAGCCCTTAGAAGTGGGGCGCCACGGCATCGTAGAGGATGCCGCAGACACCGCACACCCACACCTTCTGGGGACCGTTCTCGCAACCGTTGCCCTCCTGCGGCCTGACATCCCAGCCGCACTGCTTCTCCTCGTCGTCCCTCCGGTGGAGGCGCACGTTCCCATCCTCGCCCCAAGACGGGCCCCAAGAATTTTTGATGGCCCAGTACTTCACGGGGCCGATGCGGGTCTTCTCCTTGATGCCCCAGGCGAACAGCGTCACCGCGTGGTTGATCACGTTGAGCGGGTCACAGCCCTCCTGCGTCATCACGCCCCCGCTGTAGTAGTGCCAGTGCTCGCCCACGGCAACGGCGACGTAGAGAGGGCCGTCCACCATGAGGCTCCTCATGATGGGCTCCTCCTTGTTCTCAGGGAACTTTGTCCATCCCCGCATGCCGATGGTCATGCCCCTGAGCTCACTCTCAGATGTGCCGACGAGGTGGACCTCGTTGCCGTCCATGTCGAGAACGCCCCGGGTGGAAACCTCGGACTCGGTCCTGAGGTTCGCAGGGCAGCTGTCCTTGGGATCTCTTCCCACACTGGAGAACCTGCTCCTCAGCGACTGGAAGGCATCTGGGCTGGACAGCCCCTTCTGCAGCACGTACTCGTACGCGAGCTCCGCGGTGGCGCCGTCGCAGCCGCCGGTGCCGCCGCACTTGTGGGGGTTCGGGGTGCAGGAGATGAGCTGCAGTGCTGAGAACCTGTTGGGAATCCCTTTGATCTCCGCGCGGGCCCTCATCGCCATGGTAGAGGCCATGGCCCAGCAGCTGCCGCAGTGCGCCGACCCCTTGGGGCGGGGCTGAGGCACCTCAGGAGAAGCCGACTGTGGGTTGTGAACCTGGCTGCAGACAGTATCATACCAGTTCCAGACAAACACTTTTTGGTCTGCGGGTCGAGAGCGAGCCTCTTCCCGTTAAGAGCTAGGCGGGCCGCGCAAAGCACTGATTGGGGAGACAGGGCGCGGGCGGGCGGGGCCTCCGGCGGCCGGAGGGCGCGTGTTCCAGACAAACACACCACTGCACGACAAAATCAAGTTGATCAGAATTATGTTGGTGAAGAACAGGCTGCTGGAGAAGCGATGTCGGAACTGGAGAGGCAAGCACCACAACATGAGCAAGCAGATCCACGACAAGTCAAAGCCGACGGCCGAACCTTCTTCTGCTTGCTAAGTCTGGGATTCTGGACTCAGCTCGAGCCTGTGAAACATGCCCGTGTGTTGTCGTATGAGATAATTGCCTATCCCCAAACCCGTCCCATGGGAGTATGGCGGACTTAATCTAGCCCAGAAAGCTCCCAGGCGCACCAAAAGTGCCAAAGACAGCTTCGTGAAGGCCCACAAGTGCTTCGGGACGGCCCAAGATCGGCCCAACAGGGCCCCAGGTAGCCTCCACACAACCCCAGAGGCTCCCAAGACGGCCAAAGAGAACCCAACGAGGACCACCAAAAGAGAGCGCCGAGAGGAACACATCGTTGGTTTCCGCATGGTTTTCTACATGTTTGACGTGCTCGCCGTTTCGACCTTTGGGGTGTGAGGCCCCAAGGTCGCCCCAAGACGGCACCAAGAGGGCCCCACAGCGGCCCAAGAGGGCCCCAAGATGGCCCAAGAGGCCCCCAGGACCGCCCAAGAGACCTTCAATGAGGGCCCTAGGAGGAGCCCAAGAGGAGGAGCTCGAAGGGACCCAGGAGCCTGCCCTCAAAAGTTGGCCCCCAAGACCCCCAACATGCCACCAAGAGAGCCCCCCAAGGGGCGCCCCATCTGAGGCCGAGAGGTCCCCAGAGCTCCCCAAGAGGCCCCCACGAGGGCCCCAAAACGGCCTAGCAAGGCTCCTCCTGAGCACGTGACGCACGGCGCAAAGACGCTTCTACGACAACGCCCCCCCGGAAGAGAGGCATCAGAGCTCCGAGGGGGTCGGGGGTGCGGCGTAAGCCAGTGAATCTCCCTGGTCTTCAGCTGGGGCCGCGATGCTGCTCAGATTCGCCCAAGAGAACTCGCTGGGCATCACCGTGTCGTGGAAGATGTTGCGGCGAGTTGCCAGCAAGGAAGGAAAGTGCGTTATGGACTCGGCCTTTCCACTGCGGCTCGGCTTGTGGCCGCGCAGCATCATCAGCTCCTCGGGCGTCCTGTCCGACATGTGGTTGACCCTCTCCGTCCAGAGCGGGCCGTTCGGCTCCGAGGCCGCGCAGTTGTGCGCGCGGATCGCCGCCTGCCGATCCTCGAAGAGCGCAGCGCGGATCCTGTACTCCGCGGAGTCGCGATCGTACCTCCGCTGGTACTTCTCCACGTACTCGTCGAATGTGATCGGCATGCGGAGGCAGCCAGCCACTGCCGCCTCCTGGAAGGCGGCGTCGGCGACAGCCTCGAGGGAGTGGGCCGACACGCTCCGGCCGGCGGATAGGGCCCTTGCCACCGCTCCCAGCGCGGAGCTGGCCAGAAGCACGCGCGCGGCCACGGCCATGAGGAGAGCACCGTGCTCGGGCGATGCTTGTGATAAAATGGAAAGGTAGTGCGGCTTACTCGGCGTGACGAGCCAAAAGCGTACCAGGTTGAGTATGGCTTAACTTGGTGAACGCAGACGGCTGCAATGAGCAGGACGAGGGGTGCTCAATGAGGTGAGGTTGAATGGAAACGGATGAAAACTTCGCTAGGCCAACGGGCGAGAGGCGTACTAGAATCTCCGGCAACGACCCAGGCGAGGGCTTCAGGACGCCCCAAGAGTGCGTGTCTGTCTATTTTTGGCCGATCATGGGCGTTATAGGGGCGGAAGGGGGCGGGGGGGGCGTACCCCCCCCCGCCGTGTGGCTCCGGCATCACAGCCGCGCCCGCGCGCACGACGACGATGAGCGACGAGGGACGAGCGACGAACGACGACGACAACGACAACGACGCGAGCAGCATGTAGGTGGCGACCTGCCCACAGCGCCTGTGTACACCACAATGCTCGCGTGCACCACAGAGCGCGTGTGCACCACAGCGCCTGCGTACACCGCAACAGCCGTGTGCGACGCAGCGCCTGTGTACATCACAGTGCTTGCGTGCACCACAGCGCCGGTGTACACCACAGCGCATGTGTAACACCGCAGCAACCATGTGCAACACAGCGCCTGTGTACACCACAATGCTTGCGTGCACCGCAGCGTCTGTGCACACCACAGCGAATGTGTACACCACAATGCTCGCGTGCACCACAGAGCGCGTGTGCACCACAGTGCCTGCGTACACCGCAACACCCGTGTGCGACGCAGCGCCTGTGTACACCACCGTGCTTGCGTGCACCACAGCGCCGGTGTACACCACAGCGCATGTGTAACAACGCAGCAACCATGCACAACACAGCGCCTGTGTACACCACAATGCTTGTGTGCACCGCTGCGCCTGTGCACACCACAGCGAATGTGTACACCACAATGCTCGCGTGCACCACAGCGCCTGCGTACACCGCAACAGCCGTGTGCGACGCAGCGCCTGTGTACACTACAATGCTTGCGTGCACCACAGCGCCGGTGTACACCACAGCGAATGTGTAACACCGCAGCAACCATGCACAACACAGCGCCTGTGTACACCACAATGCTTGCGTGAACCACAGTGCCTGTGCACACCACAGCGCCGGTGTACACCACAGCACCCGCGTGCACGCAGCGCTGGTGTACACAACAGTGCCTGCGTGCACAGGACAGGTAGAACGAGCATGTAGGTGAGGATCTGCTGCGGACAGCTAAACGCCACGCCAGCGA